CTTTGTTTCTTGTGGTGAATGCAAAGGCATTGTTTTAAATTTTCTTATTCATTCCTCTATTAATATTTTCCTTTATTATCTTTTTCTTGAATCGTGCGTTGATTTGTGAGAGCGGAAAGGGCTTCACTAAAATTCAGCAGCTTCTTTTCTTCCCAGTCCACCTAAGTTTTTTTTAGGTGAATCTGGACCAGGAGCCTACCCACTCGTCGGCGGAATGTAAGTCTATTTTTTTGCACATTAGCAATTTTGTTGTTCTGTTTTTGCATGTTGCTGATGTTCGGCTAATTTTCAATCCTTTATAAGATCGCTGCTTCCGCCGTTATTAATTATACTTTTTAAGTTTTATTGATTTATTTAGGCCCCCAGCAGGAGTTTTCGGTGGAGCGCCGCAGCCGCTAAAACAGCGCGAGATTAGTTTTGATACAAGTTCGAGAGAACCTCATATGATAAGGTTGCTACTAAAGGATATTCTGCAGTATTAGTGCCATCTCAACTTTTCAAGTGTGTTTTGTGAGGGCTACGTTTTTTAGAGCTAGAGTTTTTGTTGGCAATATTAATACCAATATTATCAACCGTGAAGAAATTATTCGACTTTTTGGTACTTACGGGACGCTTTTGGGGGTTACCTTGTTCAAAGGTTATGCTTTTATACAATATTCTAACGCCAATGAAGCTGATTTTGCCGTAAGCACTCTGAATGGTTACAATTGGAATGGATCTGTTTTAGGTGGGCGGGTTTTTATTTCCTAACCTCTTTTTTTTTTCTTTTTTGCCGATTTTGCGAACTGTTTTTGAGAGATCATACAGTTTGGTACTTTCGCTTTTCCTTTCAGGGTTTTGTATTTGGTTTTGTGTTTATCTTTAAATCTAAACTGTAATTTTTGTGTTTTATGTTCATTTTACCTCCCTAATATTTGTTGTATCCAGTACCTCACGAATGTTGAGTACTATATTAGTCAGTTGCGCTATTTTCGTTATTTGTATTTTTCTGAGTAAGCCATCGTTTTTTAATGACGGTCGAGGGATTACTTTTCGTTTTACTGGTGATGACCTAACACCACAAAAGTCAGCTTTTCCTGGTTTATATCCACCAGTTCAGTGTCGAAGGGAACGGACTCATTTGATGGTTTTTTACTGATACGCGTTGACGGTTTATTATATCATCTTACTAGTTTTTTTGTTTGTACTTTACCAACTTTTTGTTTTTGTACTGCTTTCAATGAATCCCCTCGTTGAGACTTTGTAAGCTTTTCACTATTAGGAACAGCAATCCTGTTCCATCGAGTGCCAGGATGCTGCTTAGCATCAGCTCTTTTTACGTCGTTTGGAGTTGCTTTTCTGCTTAGATGGCTCCGTTAGGTTTTCCACGTTTTGAAATCCGCTATTTTTTAAACTTATTTTTTGTATTTTGTTGTCTTAGAAGCGTTTAGGTGAGATTCCTTGTTTTTATTGTTCCTTGTTGGTTTTTTTGAGCTGCTTGGATTGATTTTTTATATCTATTTTTCTCTAAGGTTATGCTCTGGTTGGATTTTTAGTGTAAAATTTTGTTTTTGTTCTTTTCAAACTAATTCCGTTTTTCAAACTTTTTGTTAACTGTACTTTATATCCTTAAATGTTGTAATGTTGAGATTTTTGATTTCATGAGCATTTTTTCTGATATTTCCAGTCCCTTTCTGGTTTTTAATGGTACTTTGTCATCTTAGCTTGAGTTGTTCTTTCTTCTAGAAAGTTTTTTTTGAAAGGAGTAGTTTTTTATTTGCTAGCTTTTTTAGTTTTTATGTATTTTTTGTTTTTCTGTAGATGTGAAGCTCGCAATTGCTGGGATGAAAACTCACAACGCTTCGTCGTCTTCCAACGGGTATCTTACTTTTTCTTTTTCTTTTTTTCTTTTTGTAAGACTCGCAGGTTTTTAATCTAGGTGCAGCACTTCGATGCGATTCTTTGTTCTGAGCATTTTTTCAGATTTTGCAACTTTTTTAATTTTTCGTGGTACACCAGCTTGAAGGACGGTTTTGTAGGATTAGTTTCTCAATGTTTATTTCTTAAATAACCTTAAATCGTAAGTTTTCTGATTTTTTTTCTTACCTACACGGTTGTATGGAACATCTACCCTGGTGCTGTAGGGTTCGCAAGAATTTGAGAAATTTCAATAATTACCCAATTATAACTTGTGGACTTGGTAAAAATTACTGTGGGATGAGCAGTAATCCTTAAATGATCAAATGCACAACGAGATGCATTTTGGTGGCCGCTACATATGTTGTAATTCATCAGTTTTTTCGATCTCTTAATTTCTTTGGATTTGAGTTCTTAAGTGTTTTACCGCTGTTACTGGTTATTTCTTTTGGGAAACTATATAAATGAGCGTTAGAAATTTTGTTCGCGATCGAGGTCATTAATCGGATGGCGACATCATACATTCCCTGCTTAACTTGTAGAATTAATTGTGTGAGAAATTTTGTGTAAAATTGATAAATGTTTGGTTGACTTAGATGTCCGTATGCCCGTAGTACTTTTCTGCTTCTCGAAGACGTTTTTTGATTGGTTTGTAGGGGTAAGCTAGCTTTAAGTTTTTCGGTTTAATTCAGTCTCAGTTATGTTGTTCTAAGCAGTGGATTCGTAGTAAAACTAGGCGACAACATATAACGAGTTATTTGGCGTTCTAGTTAAAGTTGTTTAAAAAATCTCCATGCTTGTGTAATGTGGCCTGCAGTGTTTATTGATGGGGTACATCCAAACCATTGTTGAAGCGCTTTAGTTGTTGGTAGCATGTGTAGTGGATTCGGTTTTTTGGTTGTACCTTCAAGTTTTGCTTTTTCGTTCACTTTCCTTTTTTCTCCTTTCTCTTTTTTTGTTTTTTCTTTTTTTTTTTTTTTATTTTTTTATTTTTTATTTTTTTTCTGTTTTTGCAGAGCTTTTCGGAAGGGTTAGACAGCAGTTTCTACGGTTATTTTAAACTGGTGATTTTTAAGTGTGAAACGTGGAGCAGACGGTTGGGGGAGCGGGAGTACAGTTAAAAAGGAACGTACAGATGACTCGATGGCATCGAGTATTAGCAATCAGAATGAAAGAAACAGACAAGCTGCGGCGTCGGACACCACAGGAAATGCTAGCCTTTACGATACAGGTTTTTTTTTCAACTCTTTTGGTTGTGAGGAGTGCAGCTGGGATTTTTACTGGGCATTTTATTGAGTCTGGCTTATGGGTTACTTTACTTCTTCTTATTGGCCGTTATAAACTTAATTTTAGGCATGCCAGATACAATGATCTGCGGTGGTTGCCGTTTCGTCACAAGTGATTTTGAACAGTTCAGGGAGCACCGTAAAGCCCCTTGTTCATCAGCCGTTAAGGAAGGTTGGTTTTGATAACACTACATCTTTTAATAGAACGACCGCTCTCAAAATTTTGATTTTGGAGTCTGCTTTTTACAACGGCTTTGCAGTACCTTTATGAGTACTAAAAGCTCTGTAACAGATTTAGAGGAGAAGAAGCCTTGGCAGTGTTCGATGTGTGAAGAAGTTTGCTCGACGGGAGGTGCACTTATTGAGCACGCGAATGAGCGCCATAACATAAGGCTTCAGCGAGCAACAGAATAGATCAATAACTTCCGTTACTTTTCTGCTATTTGTTTGGACATTTTCATTGCGTTTTACATTCAGTTGTCGAGCTACTTTTTTCTTTTTATCCTCCAAGAACGTAATTATTTTAGTAAGGAAAGGTGTGTGGTCACTTTTTATCATCCCATCAAACGCGTTATTATGCTTGTTTCTTTTGTTGAAGTTACATTAATTTATGATTTTTGAAAATTGTTGTTCACAGAACTGTAAGCTGCTTTTGATTAAGATCCTCCCGTCATTCTCAGACCGTTCGTTCGATTCTGGACGAATCGTGTCACAATATTGGCATCTCCGATAATTTAGTTATTTTACCTTTCTAGTTCTGAGTTTTGTATGATCTATAAAGCGTTGTCACTTGTGTTCTTGGCATCATTATGAGAGAGGGGCAGGAGGACTTTACAAGGCACAATTTTCGTGGAGGGATGACCTATCCAAAAGAGTTCTGGGTCGCAAGCTGGGCGGCCCATGCTTCCGCTGCGCTTTGGCCTGAGCATAGTAGTGTAGCCCAAGCCTAGCAGGACGGTGGTCGGTGTGGGCGTTTATGGGGTGAAGCTCCAGTCGGCGAATCTGGTGGATGTGAGTCCACGCAATAAACAGCTATCTTGTCTGCGGTGAGAGTTGCAAGGTTGAGGGATTGCACCCTCCCCAATGTTTGTGTTTGCTTTTGAGAGAGTGAAGCGCCAGGAGAGATGTGGGGTCGGGGGTCTGCAGTAAGTTGCTAAACAGCTGAAAGGTGCGACAGAAGGCTTGGTCGCAGCAAAGAAGTTGGTCCGGAACGTCCGCACTAGAGTTGCAACACAGCGCACTAGTTCTGCTTTTTTGGTGGCATCCTACACAAAAATTAGGCAGCAGGGGCCACGGGGGAAGCCATTCTGCGTTTCCCCCAAGATCAGGACAAGGTACGGTATTGGGATAAACATGATCAGGACAAGGCACGGTATTGGGATAAACGTATTATTGATCCTGGGGACCCTCTGTAGTTCTAAGCAAAACAAAGACAGTTGGATGAGCAAGATTCTGTTCCTTATGATTTAAACAAGCAAATAAGTACATAAAATGGCAGAAATCAACTTTGAAAATTTCAAAACTGATGTGGAGCTGTGTTTCTAGGATGTCAAACAAGTAAAATAATGTAGTATCTAACACCCGATGAGAGATGGCATTTAGAAAGATTAAGGAACTAGCAAAAAACAACCCGTCTTTGCATAAACGGCATAAACGTTAATCCCAAAGGCAAGTCTTCTGACAGTCCTTGCCCATGAGGAGACTAAAATAGCAGATTATAAGAACATTACAGCACATTATGACCTGTTCAAGGTTATCCGTAATTTATTTGGTTCTACCTTCCGCTTGGAGAACCTGGGTCATCGTCGTAAGCGCATTCCGAACGCGTTGTCTGGTTCTGCTCTCCGCGCGGATCCATTTCGGCCGCCCAACTAAAGTTCAGGAGCGCAAGGTGAGTATTGTTCAGCTTCTTGTAGACTCGACCAAGTAAAAAGAAGACCTGAAAACGAAAAAGTTGTTGGAAAACATTTTCCTGTCATATGAGTACAACGTTTTCTGTTGGGACCAAATTACTTGTGCCTCATCGTGAGCAAATAATTTCAGGTCATTGAGAGCTGTACGACAAGTTTTGTAATCTCGCATCTCATAAAGTAGCCGTGCACGGTAAAATCGACAAGCAGCATTATCTGGAGCAATCTCAAGCGCTCGATCAAGAAGATTCATTGCCTACAACAAAGTTGCTCAAGAAGAGAAGTAATTAGATATAAGACAGTACAGCAGTGTGAAACTCACTGAGTGATTATTGTGCAGTGACTGTTCTACTACGGACAACTGGCACAGAAGTACTGAATTTGACGGGTTTATCGAGACGGCACGTTTTAAATAAAATCGAGCCCAAGCTAACTGTTCCCTTTTAAAATGCAAGAGCCCCAAACCAAACCAGGCACGATAGTCCGTTGGGCACAAACATAAAGCACGTCTGTAAGCTTTCTAGTTTCGATAAGCTACTTCCGACTCATTATAACCTACTTTCAGTAGCAAAACCTTGCTAAGAAGGCGGAGAACCGAAAAATAAACTTCACTTTAGGACTTATTGATCAGTGTTCAAAACTTCTGAAGTTATCATTCCCTCTATAAGTATAACCTACCTACCGCCTAAAATTAAAAACGCTCTAAGATTACCTGAAGGAGCTCGCTGCTTTATCAAGTTGATCTGTATCCAGCAGCTCATGACCCAGCAAGGAATACGCATAAGCAAATTGAGGTTTCAAGGTTACGGCTCTCTCAAAACATTCAATAGCGGTCTCGTGTTGCTTTTGCACACTGAAGCAATTACCTGCAGCACACCAAGTTTCAGCAAAACTGCGTGCATTACCCGTCAATTCTGCAGCTAGCATAGAAAGCCTTCGAGAATCTTGCTCATGCCACAGGGCAGTTGACAACACCTAGAACATTTACTTAAAACTGAATCGTCAACAAAAGAATATTCTGAAATAAAAGCATGCAATGAAAATACAGCTGAAGGAAATACTAAAATAAATCCCATTTCTATTTTTTTTTCTTTCACTAACTTCCATTCCTGCAAGACGATGAGGAAAGTCAAGATGAAGCCTTTCAAGAACTTCTTTTGTTTTGGAATAATCAAGCTTTTCAAAGAAAATCCGAGCCAGAATTTCACGGGCTAGAGGTGTGGTGGAACAAAATTCGGGCATAATATCAAAGAGTTCTAAGGCTTTTGAAGTGGCGTAGCGTGACAGAAAAGACTGGACGCGTGCTAGAGATGCAACTGTCTTTACAACATCAACTGAAAGTAAGCTATAAATGTCTAAGTAATATAACGTTGAAGGCTGTTTCTTCAAAGTAAAGGTTCTCTACTATGTAGTAGAAAAAACTAAAATTTAGAGAAAATCTCTTTAGATGAAACAGAATAGAGCTTAAAAGAAAATAAGAGACACCAAACAAGGGAGTCCACTTCGTATATTCGTTGAGGAGACTCGAAATTGAGTGGGCTCTACGGGATATCTGTGACGCTCCTAAACAATGTGAACGAGGTTTCGCTTGAAGTACGGTAGATGCAACTTCGCTTTGGGAAGAGGTAGAATTCAATGGTACAGCTACCTGACCTTCCTAAAAATAACAGATGGCTGTACCTGGGGACAATTCTTAGTAAAAAAGCAACTCACAAAAAGTCAAGAAATGTGCTCAAATCAATTTATAAGTGCGAGACTACACTAATCGAGCGTATTAAACTAACATTTCCGTCTCAGAAAAAAAAACTGCTCTTTAGATCTTTTTACACCCGTTGATCAGTGTCTTTCTACTTTAACATTTATTCCTGGAACTTACAAAAGTATGAACATTCTGGTCATCAGAAGGAATCATCGGCGGAGTACTCAGCAAATTAGAATTAACTTTCGCCGTTTGCAGCTGTTTTACCTTCCTTGATGTAACTGGCAGGATATCATGAGTTTCAATTGTTTTTTGCAACATAGGGGATGTTTGGGGAGAAGGAGACTTCCTCAGCGTTAATCTGTTCATCTCTTCTTCGCTCAAGCGATTAACAGAACTATAACCAAAAAATTTTATACTTTTCAAATAAAAAAAAAATGAAAAAGCTTTAAGACTTCACAAAGAAAAGTTTGAAGATACAGATGATACATCGCAGCAAAGTATAAACTTTTACCTACGTACTTTTCTTCACTGACAACCTTGTCTAATTTTAATATAACCTTTATTTCGAAAAACCAATCCTTAGACACCCTTTGGTCAAAAACATATTCGCTAAATGAACCAAAAAGTGACTTATGGATAAGAACGTATGATTCTCAAAATACCAACAACAAGTGTTTAATGGTAAAAAGACATACTCAACCACTTAGTAACTTAAGATTCGGTATCGCAACCTTTCTTTGCGAATTAAATTAAACGATACTCAAACTAACTTCTTTGTTGATAATGGAAAGTATTTTAGCTTCAAAAGTACTCTTCTTAACAAAAAATTTCACAAACATCATTACTTATTGAAGAATAAATTCTGAATAACAAACAACCAGTAAAATGTAAAATATAAGTTATTGTTACACTCATAAGTCGAGAAAGAATTCACCGAAGCTGCTTATCTGGTAAAGCACGGGATCCGCAACTTCCGAGTGTTGCAAACTTCAAACGGGACGTTTTCCGAACATCTCCTCCAGAAGTTGAAAGATTTTCGCTATCCTGCAATAACCGTGAACTTCGTCGAGTCTCCATCCCTCCATCTACTCGGCGCCGTAAAGCTGGCACATCAGACGATCTTTTGCCAACAACGCTCTTAAATGCGTGGTAAAACAAGAAACAAATTCAACACACTTTCAGAACAGCTATCAAAAAACAGAAAAATATGCACGCGTATAAATACATATATACGCATAACCCCAGCCACTCCAGTGAAGCAAGCAATTAGACGATTCATCACAACAGTCGGAAAATATATTACTATAAATTTGAGGAAATAATGTGTTTGAAATGTTGACTGTTTGAAAATATGCGTTTACATCTCCCACCATTGTAGTTACAAAAGTTTAAAACCTTGAACTGTCCAAGAAAAGAAAACGCACTGTTCGAGGTTTCTTCGGTCCAAGGCAAAAAGCTTTCTCATCAACAACATCTTTCGCGTCTCTCATCACGGGAGTTCTTTTTTCAGGTGACCTCCCGAAAAGACAGTTTTGAGACGAACTAGAAAGAACACAGGACATTGGCAAAGAACAAACAGTAACAAAGAATTAAAAAATAAAAATTTACTTCACCACTCCTTTCCGCTTGCAAAAATCTTTCGCTTTATTTGCATGCCGTATTAACTTTCCACACAAAGTCTCAACTTCCGATGCAACTCCAATGTCACAATGCAGCTTCATGATAGACCAAGACAAATTATTTTTTTCCATTGCAAGGCGATTTTCAGCAATAGCTTCGTTAGTACGCCCAGACTCTCTGAAGAACTCACGTAACCCAACCGAATTATAATAAAGTGCTAAAAGCCCGTCAAATCAATAATGAACAAGTACAAAAGTATTTTCGCTAGCAAGGCATGCGCGAATGGTTCCACTGCTGTATTCTCAAAGATAGAGTGTAAGCAAGACAGTTCATCCATTCGTAACGCAGATTCAGCCTCCTGCATCCTAAATGCAATGAAAAAAATAATTGAAAGTGAAAACTTCTCTTCGCCATTATAAATTGAAAAAAAAAAAACGTGGGATGCATCAAGAAAAAGATTATTCGACACTATTCGTACATAAATACTTAATAAAAATATCTCCGTAAAGACTCATACTTTTTCATATCGTAACAACAGTGGGCATATAAATATCTCAGCTGCGGCGTTTTCAAACTGTCAAGACTAAGAAGTCTGCAAGCTGCCTCAACTTGGCCACTCCGTAATAAGCACTGGCCGAATAAGTAAAGAGAATCGCTACTTCTAACTAAAAAGGATTTGAACGTTTGGGCTTTATAACAAGCATTGACCCAAAAGACAGTTAAACTTTACAACAACTGTACCTTGTTCATGGTAAAGTTCCGCAATGAGAGCCGCATCTTCGAATGCAAAGAATTCCAAATAATGATCAATCAAACCCTTAAACACGTTATAAAAGATACACTTTAAATTCCGCAAAGAACCTCAAAAGCTCACTTGGGAAAACCAGCCTGTAACTCCGTACAAATTCCTCCCATTACTAATAAAAAAATACGTCTCATTTTGTATTTCAGGTCAGATACTAGCGTACAAGAAGAATTAGATGACAAAATACAGAGAAAAAAGATGAAGCTAAATAAGTTTTATTGCAATTCTCACAAATCAAACATGGTCAGGTCAATACCTACCTCTATCTGTGCATTTCCATTTCCTGTTCTTGCTGATAAGGTCATTTTAACCAATCACTTACCCAATCCAAAGAGCGAACAAATGAACAATTTCATAAGCACCTGAAAAGTCAGAGTTGACAATTAGAAGGCGGTTTTTACTCCAATCACAGATAACAATCTACGAGGACCCGCCTCTAGAAAAAACTCAAAAAAACTCATGATTGGCAAAAGTTCACAAGAGTGGAGTAACACTAAATTAGCTATGGTCCCCTTCACAAAAATTTAATAATTTCCGGGTTACTCATAAAAATTACAAAGTATTGCTTAAAATTATTTCAAACCCAGCGACAAACAAAAATCACTAAAAGAAGCTCTGTCCAAAAAATCCTCAGCAGTAATTTTTTAATGCAAACACAAAGAAGGTGGACAAAAACCTAATGTTTCTCACAGTCATGAAGCGAAACATTCAGTCTTGCTCTTCATTCCTTTTTCGCTAATGCTGAAATGAGCACTGAATAGTGGAACGTAGGAGTGGAGAAAGAACTAGCTGTTATGATCAAACTACAAAAATACCTTTACAATTTTCAACCTTCTATAACTCGAGTCAATGTTTATATAAAGATACAGATACTTCTGAGTATCACTGAAAATAGGTGCCAAGAAGCACAAGCATAACATTAGAAGTACTATAAAAAGTTCTTGTCATTTCTCGTCTTAACTTCCAAATTAATGGCGCTAAAAATGGCACTGAGTTTCGTCTGCTTCCCCAGTGTAAACTGCATTATTTTCTTGGTCACTGTTACTTTTAAAGTATCAGAAAATTTTTCTAATTTTTTACTAGTTCCCTACTCGGAAGACTTCCGGGACATTAAGAATCCATACAAAGTTCGCTACCTATTTTTTGGGAAACTGTTGATTTTCCAGTGCTGCTCCGTAAGACTATGGTACTTTACAGGTCTATGGCAATTATGAAGTACAGGAGGCTCAGCTGAGTTTCTTTTACCCAAAGCAAGCGCTCCCAGATTTGCAAAAATTTTGATGTTTTGCGATTCAGCCTTCGAAACCTCGCCAATTTCACGGCTTTCAGCATGAAATGTAGCGACCGACGTTGTTTTAAAGGTTTATAATGATCGTAAGTTGTCAAAAATTTATTTTGAATCCTCCCTCTTCACCTATACTGAGCGGTTCTAAAATATCCAAAAACTCTGGTGATTTCAAATTCAATTTGTTTTTCTGAAGTCCCAACTCCAATGACAATTTCTGGTTTGCGTTACTTAGTTTTACTAAGAGTGTATTACTGGAAACTGTCAGCAGGAAATTGCGCTCCTTCCTTCTGTTTCTACAGTTTTTCCAAAATGATCTAGAGTTTCAGAAAGTCCCGCAAATCAGATTTTAAGAAATCTTCGAGTTCTCACTACCAAAAACCCAAAATAACGCGAATTCAGGTTATTCTGTTCTGCAGTAAATGTCAAAGTACCGGGAAAATATTCCAACTTTTTATTTCCTCCTTACTGTAAATACTTTCAAAACAGCTAAAATTTCATTGTCCAAAACTGATGGCAAATGATACTTTTTTTCCTTATTTACACTGTTAAATAAGAAATACATAAAAAACTGGAGAACTCCCCTATGCCGTTCAGAATATAGAATTTATGACATAGGCAGTCTATGAAGCAAGTTTAACACTCTGAAACTTCTTAGACCCTAGCAAATAACAAACACAGTGGAACCTATCAGAAGGTTACACGCACTCTAAAAAAATAAGAAACACTTCGATGAACAAAAGTTTCTGCATATTACACAAGCAATGCTGGATTTCAAGGTATACCGCATCTCCCTTTACTTGTTTTCATGAAGCCAGCAATGACTCGGCTGGCATCTTGCCAATTGCCTGTCGTAACTCACGCCAAAAGCGCCCCGAGACCAAGACTTACGAATAAAACTAGACTCTTTAATGTACACTTCGCTTGTCTGTATATATATTTCTGCGTCCTAAAGAGGGAAGAGTTTCCGTTTCTTTTACATTTTACTATTTCTAATCTTTTTTCTCCTCTATTTGTTGTATTTATGACAGTATCTTTTATTTGCTACTTAAATTAAGGAATTGACGGCACTTCAGCTTGAGAAGTTCCACACACGCGGCTAATTCGGTGGACTTTTTGCTTCTCCATTCATCATCAGCGGGTTAGGCAGCTGTGCTAATTCATCATTTACGCAATATATTGCTGTTTTATCAAATATACTATAAGCTTGGATTAATTAATCGCGCATTAGAGAATTAGTTACTTCTAGGCACAGCAGTACTGTTCAGACTAGATATAAGAATGCGATGAGTTTCTAAGTAGGCGAACGAATTTTGTCCATATAGGCTGGCTTGCATATCTGTGGACTTGGGAAAGAAGTGGGACGTTTTTCTGAATGGAATAGCATGGCATGAAACACAGTGCGACTAACTGTGTGGCTGGTATGGAAAATCCTTTTATGTATCATTTGCTGAGTGGGAACTTAATACAAACAGTGGAAGTACAGTAAAGTAAAAATTGATGCGAATGCCAAAAGTTCCCCAGTAATTTTCTTTTCCTCTTCTACCCTCTGGTTAAGCCTTTCTCAGAAGTATTTAAGAGGGTAGTTCCTTCATTCATAAATATTTCTTCTAACTTTACTTTTTGGAGTTTGTCTGTGAAGTTTTTGACGTTACTCCTAACTCTTTGCTCGAGTGAAAACGCGTTACTAGCAGTTTAAATGGTTCCGATCTTTGCTTGCTGCGGTCGTCCTAAGAAAGAAATAAAGTGGAAGTTTAGAAAAGTCATCTGAGAAAAAAAAAACAGTATCAGAGGGCCGCAGGCAGTCTTCTGCAGCAATAAATTGCCTTTGCTTATGCTAGTACAGTTAGGATTCAAGATGAATAAACTACATGTCTCCTCCTATTTTTATTAATTTCACAGCCTGTGTTTGTCAACTTTTTTTAAATATTATTCACGTAGTTGTTCACAGTGCAGATTCCAAACCCGTCCATTCTTTTGAAAAATGAAGCGGATTATATTTCCCAAATACGTGTTCGCAGGCAAATGAGTCGCTCCTAAAGTTTTGAAAAATTCTTTTTGGTGACATCTAACCACGTTTCCAAATTTAGGTGTCAATCAGCAGTAACAGCAGCATTTGCGTGTGAATATTTAACTGTCATCTTTTTTATTTCCTTTTCAAGTCGCACCATTGGGAGATCAGTTACTTAATCGGTACTTTTTTCTCTTCACCAGTAAGGACTTGTACCACCTCATACCGATTATAATGTATCTTTAAACAAAAGAACCTGAAAACAACCTCAAAAAAATGGTGATATTCCAGAATGTGGGTCTCAAATGCACCGCGCTCACAGGTGAGGAGACGGAAACGTCCAGTCCTCAGCGCATATTTGCTAAATTTTAACTCAAGTTTAGAAAACCGTTTCTTTTGATTTATATACGTGTATTGTGAGTGAACAGCCAGACGAACAGCTTTGTCTGTCACTTCTCAATTTTATGGTTCAACTTCGAGGAAAGCAAAATTAATTTTCTAAAACCAGTCACTTGCATCCGGAACTTCCCATTCCAAGTTTTTTATTTTTTGAGGCTAGGTCACTAGTTTTCCCCAATGTTTTTCTTTTTCCGTTTTTTCCTGACGGTGGAAGGGGGCAGAGGGAAGGGATGCGAAAGAGAGGAAGAAAATTGCAATCAGGGAGACGTCCTTAGCAATCAGTGTCGGATCACACGCAGCTAGAGAGTAAATTTGCTGTTTGTGTGTCACATGTGAGACTCATAATCTGAAGAAGTACCAATAATGGCTAGTCCATATAGTACAACCGCAAGTGGTAATAGCTTACTGTCATGCTTATTTCTATGTCACTTGACTGAGGCCAAAAATATATTATGTATTTACCACGAGGATTCCGTAACTCACACACAAGCGCACACACGCACCCGTCCACTTCTTGTCAGTGATAATCAGTGTTGATACATTTGAAGCGATGCAGCAAACAACCATCTGACACGTGCGACATATCCTCTTGCTGATTATCGATTGATATTTTAACGCGCAACAGAGAGTGTAGGACAGAGCCAGGGACGTAGAGAAGCAAAGACTGACTGATAAAGGAATTGTTGCGTGTGTGTGTCTGTGTGTGTTGTGTGTATGCAGCTTTGGCTTTCCAGTTCTCAGTTTGCTTCTTGTCTGCTTTTGTCTCCTACCTTCTTGTCGTTCAGGTTTATCAGTCAAGCATACATGTCGACAATGATGACCACGAAGTGCAGTAGTAGTTCAGTCAAGTAAGTTTTGCTTTTTTCGAATTGTTATACTTGATAAAAGGATTTCAGGATCATGTTGAAGTAATAACCGAAGAACTCTGGTTGTGAATGCAAGCTTTCTTCTTTATTTAATGCTAAGCATGTTTTTTAGTGTTTTTCGGCAAAGCCTTCCAAAGTCAGTACATCCAGAGCTTAAATATGCATGCAGTACGGGTAGTTGGGAGGATGGGGGAGGGGGGTTAACTAACGTGCTGGCTTCATTTGGGATGCAGTTTTTGAAACTACCGATTTCACAACTTTTCTTTTCTTAAGCTAGTGGAAGGTCCCAAAAAATTAATCTTTTTGCTTAGATTTTTTACGATTACTTTGTGTTAACTGTCACACATAATCCTCATTTCTGAATACGAGGTTTTAGAATTCGAAATGTTTGCAGTTTAGATTTTTCCACAGGTTTTTCAGAGTTTGCAACGTCACATAAACTGTTACTTTTATGAGCGTCGGTTTGATGTAATTCTTGATTAATTATCTGAAGCTACTGAGCGTAAAAAGTTATGGTGTAGGTTCTATAAATTGAGGTTGCTTGTAGCATTGAAAAGTTTATTTCGGTTGAAGGGAAGGAAGGAAGGATTGGTATTGCAAATTTTAGGGCGTTATTGTAGTTTCACGGAACCGTTTACAGCGTAGATGAAATTTGGCTGAGGGTACTAATCATAATTTGACAAAGATCTGTTTGTTCTTCAGAGTGTCATCGGTCTTTTGCTCAAAGTTACCATTTCCAAGACGTTTTAATAGTGGAAAATTATTGTTTATGCTTTTTAGTTGTAATCGAGGCCACTCTGGCCTCGGGTGTTGCTCCTGACATCCCTTACACGGGATTCGATGATGAGCGGTTGAAGGCTGTTGAAGGATTAGTGAAAGGTTGGTTAAATAAAATTTTTGTATTCAGAATAGTAGGGGAAAACTGAGGTGTTTCATGGTTTTCTTTTACCGTAATTTCGTGAGAAAAGTTTTTATCAGTAATAAGGTTTTCGATTTTGATGTTTTGCATTTTTCATCAGGATGGTGTAGAACGACCAAGACTTGATTTTTTCGTCGTTTAGTTTAGTGTAAAAGTGTCATAGCTAATTACTCGTAAAGATGGATCATGGCGTTTTGCGAATAGGAAAGCAATTGAGTTGTTGCCAAGTTTCTTGATCAACATATTTTGATATTTCTATTTTTTGAAATTGACCTGGTAGTTTGCTGTAAATTCCAACTGCTAAACTTCCCGGATACTTTTTAAAGTTTTTTTCATTACATCCAGGTACTTTTAGAAGTGTCTCCAGAGTGGTGCTGTCACTTGGTCGAAAAAGACACGTTGGCTTTATTTTTACCGTTAAACAAGCCAGTATCGAGTTTATCTAATGGCGCATTTGTTTCACTTTTAGAATGTTGTGAGGAGAAGTTACATGTAAAACGGGTGTTGATTTGCGTGAACAAAGGGACCGTGACAAAAGAGGTTTGACATATGAGTTTCTTGTTCAGGTATTCTTACATCTGATCACACAGAGCAAACGAGGTCTCAGGGTTACATGACATTTCCGATACCTTTATCTATTTACCGATTAATGAGCTGTATTGCAGAATCTTTCGTGTCTTCAGTACGTCGGTTTCACTCCGTTGCACCCTAATCACTATCCTTCAAACTTGAACCCTGATTTGCTGTTTGCAATGGTTTATAATGTATAGTCATTTTGAGTATATATTCATATATTCATCGAACATATATTCTTTTTTGTGAGCTATGACGTTTTTAGATCTTGCTTATATCCTAAAAAACTGAATATTTGACAATTTTTACTTGACACTGATATGGATTGCTTTAATCTACCAGTGTTTTTTTCTTCGAATGTTCAACACTGTGAATTTATTCTTTATGTTTTTAACTGCAATAAATCTTGTATGCGACATTCTGTCCTCTTTGCACTACAAAATACATTCGTTTCAATTATAGTTTTACTTTAGGTTTCTTTGGGAGTTTTAGGAAGATTTTATTTCTTCGCAGTCAGATAGTTTTTAAGTATGGAGTTATGCTGGTACTGAATAATGAATCAGTTGGAGTTTTGGTTCAGGTGCTGTTTTTGGTTCTAGTCTTCATTGATGCTTTTTACTTTGGCGAGTCGCAGATGCGAGTTTCTGATTGATGAGATTTCTTGGTTAAATCTTTTACTGTTAAAGCAATTTCGTAATGGTGTTATTAGCAAAGGACGTGGTCGTACCAGTGGACTGTAATCCTGATGATGTTGAATGTGCATGTCCAGGCTCAGGATGTTTGGTGCCTTTAATGTAATTCTTAGCCTTTTCATACAGGAGG